AAGACAACTTTAGTAAATAATTAACCCATAATATGAGATACACCCAGGTGGAGTAGTGGGCAGCTATGTAGACACCTGTGGGGGCATTGTGTGTCTTGCTCAGGGACACCATGACATGTGGGCATGGCGGGGAGTCGAACTGTAACTTTTTGGTCCCAGGTTGGTTGCCATATCTCACCATCTCGGCCCCAGGCCTGCACATGGCCTCCCATCAGCCCAGTGCCAGAGCATTTTCAACAAATGTTTTTTAAGCTTACTTTAAATCCTATGAAAGATTCAGACATAAAAAGGATGAACCATAAACCCCCCAGATGGCAGATGGCATATGTAACCAACAACTTAGTATAATATACTGCTCAACATAACCACAGGTGTCTGCCAATTTTAGTCAGTATAAATAAATAATAAACTCAGGAATGTTTGTACCGTTTTGAAAATGGGAGGATGAAATCGTGAACTTACGTACTGTGGTGTTTTTATGATCCATCCATCCATTTTCTTTACCCGTTTATTCCATTTTTGGGTCACGGGGGTCGCTGGTGCCCATGTCCAGCAATCACTGTGCGAGGGGCGGGGTACACCCTGGATGGGTCGCAAGTCCATCACAGGGCCACATAGAGACAAACAACCATTCACTCTCTCACTCACACCTAGGGACAATTTAGAGTTACCAATCAGCCTAACATGCATGTTTTTGGTCTGTGGGAGGAAACCGGAGCACCCGGAGAAAACCCACGCATGCACGGAGAGAACATGCAAACTCCACCCAGAAAGGCCCCTGGACCGGGGTTTGAACCAAGGACCTTCTCACTGAGAGGTGGCAGCTCTGTGTTTTTATGATGTAAATGTAAATTAAAAAGTACTTGTTACATATTTTACCTGCTAACTACCTTAATATATTTTTTCTTTACAGTTTAGCTCTCATGTAAACTGAAGGTACCTGATTTATTGGGGGCTGCCATTGCATTGCATGGAAGTCACCTATTATTCTACACCCAACAAGGGTTTCTTTATTTAATGCGGCCCAAACCGCAGCATGGACCTCCACAAAAGGTATATCAAAACGACTGGCCCAGCTTTGAAAAACACAATTTTAATGAACATTTGTTAGGATTTTAGACATTCAGTTCACGGGTTTTTGGAGCTTAAATGAACAACAAAAACTTTACACTTGAGGAGAATCAAGCTTTAAGATACCATCATATCATCTGTCTGGATTTCATGCTTCCAGCAGTCACATACAGGAACCCTTCTGTTGCTTTGAATAACAGTTTGTTTACTTAAAATGTGTGTCACGGTGCGCATAGAGGGCCAATTCTATCTGCTTTCAGATTGTGAGCTCTGTTGATGTAAGAAGGTTTATTCGAAACGGATCGATTTTACAGATTCACCATGTGACAGAAATGTGACATTCCTGGGGCGTGTAGATCCACAATGTATCATGTAAGCTTGTCTCTTTTACTGGAACAAATGAAAATAATTTCTAACAACATTATCAGAAAACAAGTCTGCTTCTCCACAATGCCCCCATTCATTTTTCCACAAGTCCCCATTGTGCGATTGAATCACAAGAATTGCTCTGCTGCAGGCATACTATGTGCCTAAAATAATCAAATTAATTCTTTCCCTAGGAAATCTACTCATTGACTTGTTTGTGCAATCATAACAAAATGTTGTTTTTCACCAAAGGTTGTGCGGCATCCAACTCAAACAAGCATTCGTTTGTGTCAAAGTTGATTAGCAGAGGAGACAGAAAAAGGGCTGATTAAAATGTGAAGTAATCACACACGGGGATTTCCATAAGAATCTCTGTGGTTTACATTTGTTTGCCTTCTCATCCCCAAATCAGCCAAATGTCTTCACCTCAGTGTGGAAATACTATCAAACCAATAGAAAGCGAATAAAAATAAGAAATTTAGTGAAGACTTGGCAAAATAATGTCCACATATTCAGTCTTTGCTTTAAAAAAAAATGGTAGTATGCTGTAGATTTTTGCTATAAACTAATCGATTTTGGAAGTTAAATAATCTATACCTGTAATTTCAAATGTGAACTTCAAAGGAAATTTAAAAAAGCAAATGTAATTTAACAGAGATCAAACTGTGTAAATTTGTTGTAACTATTTCTATTTGAATATTTATCTTGAACGTGTGGGAGTGGTGGGCCTGTGATTGGAAGATCGCTGGTTCAACTCCCGGTACCGACAACATCAAAACGTGGGTAGGTGAAGCACCCACACCTGCCTGCACCCTCACTTGCCCCACTTTGAGCCCTTGAGCAAGGCTTTTAACTCCCGCCATCTGCTCCCCGGGCGCTCTAGATAGCAGCTCTCTGCTCCACACTGGGGGGGCTGTGGTAGCTCGGTGATCTGTGGTTGTGTCAGGAAGAACATCTGGCGTAAAAATAATTGCCAAGTCTTCCTGCGACTTAGTTCGCCCTGAAGAAGGGAGCAGCCGAAAAAAAAAAAAAAAAAAATCTTCAATGTGTTCTTTTGACCAGCTTACAAATCTGATAGAAAATGAGAATAATGTGCAAAATAAATAAATAAATGTGATAAAAGCTTTATGACACAAGTATGTTTTAAAAAAATAAAAATCCTCTAACAGCATGCACTTTAATTTATTCTTAACTTGGATTTAAAACGTTCTTGATTTAGATTTTCATAATAATTACAAGTTTAATAATATAAAAACTGTGCAGGCATCGACGTTTGCTTTATTTTTCTCTCCATTTGTGCTTTTGGTCTATCATTCATTCATTTTAGAGAATCACATTCATAATAAAAGCTGTGTGTTTTTGAACAGTTAGTCTCTTGAGGCTGATTTTCAAATCTGCAGATCTTAAACACTGTCCTTGTTTATTGCTGCCCTCTGCTGACTTATTAGAATAAAGAAATACGAGATAAAGGAAAATGCTAGCACAGGAAATTAATGACCAAAGACAAAACAGTCCGCCCTTCAAGCTGCTGTTCTGAAAGAAAAAGCCATGTCAGAAGAGACTACTCAGCGTGTAATAAAAGCATGATTTCTCAGTTTTAGGATCTCTTTGAGACACAGACATTTCCACCCATTTTGAAGATTTAGGACCAATGACAGACTTTCTCATTAAAGTTTCCTGCAGCTCTGTTATGTTTCTGATGAATACATCGTTACTGTCAGGATCACACAAGGTCTGCTGTTTGAATCAGAAGAGAGTGGGTTGGCATGGAAAGTATATGTAATGTATATACTATTTTTAAGTAAAAAAGCAAGCAAAAATAAATAAACAAATAAATAAATGAATAAAACTCATCATCCAAATCAATGTAGCAATAGATTTTATATTGCAGGCTATTAGCATCTTATACAAGAATGACGGTTTTGAAATGATTTAAGAATCTCCAACAAATACATTATGCTTTGCAAATGTACAATGTCAATCACTTGCATCTGTTTTATCAAGCACTGTATCTGTCCAGTTTCCCCCTAAAAATAATGTAAGACACTTGAACCCGTGTGCCCTAAATTACTTTTCTGTAAACTGAGTTTACGTTTCAGCACGATAAAATTCAAAACCAATGCTGTCTTTAATGAATAAAACAGACACCAAATGACTGCCTTGACGAAGGAAATGGTTTTTGTGTTAAGTGACTCTTACACAACTATTTTTAGTGCTATGTAAATCACTGATAATTTTGCCAATGATGGATCTATGCCATTCCGAGTCTCCTGTCATTAAATTCTGATACGTCATTTTGACCATCAGGAAAATGTGGCAGCTGAAATATGGCAACCCATAAAAAAGAGTTTTCAGTAATTCTGTACTTTAAACAGATTTTGGCTCTTCATTATTCCGGTTTCCTCCCACAGACTAAAAACATGTATGTTAGGCTGATTGATTCTCCCTAGGTGTGAGTGAGTGTGAATAGTTATTTGTCTCTGTGTCTCTGTGCTGGACTGGAGACCTGTCCAGGGAGTCCCCCGTCTCTCACATAGTGACTGCTGGATATGGGCACCAGTGACTCCCGCGACTTGGAAATGAAGACGTGGCTCAAGATAATTAATGGATGGCTCTTCATGTTATTAAATTTAGGGAGAATTTATAATTTAACTTAAAAATATTTACAGTATGTTAAACTCGGAAAAATAATCTATGTTTATTTACTGTTACAGTGTGTAAACTTTTTTTTATATTCAACTTTTTTACTCTAGCCTGATAAGTAATAAGAAGCTCAGGACAATGAAACAATACAGTCAACATATGATTTATTTTTTTTTAAGTATGTACAACTTCTACATAAAGTGTGGATTATTTTAAACTTGTACATTTTTAGACAGAAATGGAAAAAATATTCAGAAATAGAAAAAAGTAAGAAATTATATTTTGTTTAAGAATTTTTGAAGTTGTGTGACTAAGTGTAAAACAATGCCATTGAATTCTTGCATAAAGAGTCTGAAAATTGTCACACCATCATAGCCATTATAACAACACACTGTTGAGATTGTGTACACATTTTGTACTATTTTATTTATATCAGGAAAACTTTAATTTTAACCCTGTAAACAATGATATTCACGGTTTAGGATGTTATATATTGATGATTTTTAACATTTTTAGGTTGTAATTCCTAATTTGTAGTTATTAGAACTTCCAATTTTTTTGCTCTGTCAACAGATATGAGTATTTCCATGTCTGATTTCATCTTAATGCTAGACAGTAGACACCACTTTATTACACCAAGGTCTTTTTATGTATTTACATACGTTGCATTAAACACCGATTCAAAGGGCTTTTTTTAAAATTATCAATAAAAGTTTAAAACTTACTTTAATCATTTTTGTCTTTTGAAACAGCCAGTTGCAAGTTCCATTATTTAAAGTAGGAACCTTTTTCGATTTGGTTGTTTCCACCGTGCTCTTTTTCCTGCGCACCGTTGAGTTTTTGTTTACCTATCAACAGGCGAGCCGATAAAATGTAGCTAAGTCCGGTACTTTGTCGAGTTTTAGTTTGTTTGTTCTTGTGTGTTTTATTTTTTAACAGTTTGTTGCAGGGACTGGGTTAAGGATAACAAGATTTCCGTCGTGATTTAAAAAAAAAATATTATTCTATAAGAATGTCGTTTCAGGAGTCGTCATCTCGTCCATCCGACGAAGCTGAGGAGTCTTTCTATGTGCAGTGCAGAGCTGCGTACCTTTCTGTGTTCAGGTCCAGTTTAACAAATATTACTTCGAAGCAGCAGTTATGTCGTGGTAAGCTAATTAATATGTCACAGTGAAATGACTCCGTGTTGCTTTCTGCTTCACTCCATCAAAGGAGGAACACGAGATTTAAACTGGTTTATGATAACATAATGTTCATTGTTTATTAATGTGATTGCCCCTTAAATATAAAATTAAATAAAACATATAATTAAACAAACTGCGGGGTGGTTTAGCTGAAATCCTTGCTGTGATTCAGTGTTTATTTGGCTTTTATACATAAGTAATACAAATTCAGAAAGTCAACAGTCATTATTCTTATAGGGATATTTGCAGATATATACGTTTCATTTGTGAAAATGTCCATTGTAGTCTACTCAGTCAAAACGACCAAATGGATAGATAGCTGGAAAGAAGAAATAAATTAATTTGGCATAATCAAATTTGTGAAGACTATATTTGATTTATCAGCCTATCCATTATGACATCGGGAACTTATTTTAGGGAGAAACAAAAGCTAAATTTTGTAACCATTTAAAACTTGTCAAGTTACGTTCTAGGTTATAAAATAATGTGTATTACTTTGCAGCCAACATGTAAAATAGATATTTTGAGGAGATAAATATAAATAGTAACATTTAACCACTTTTTTTGTCAATATTATTGTAAAAATTATAATTATGATTCTCTCACGCACGGCACAACGGCACAGTTGGTAGAGCTGCCGCCTCTCAGTGAGAAGGTCGCCGGATTAAATCCTGGCCAGGTGGCCATTCTGGGTGGAGTTGGCATGTTCTCCATGTGCATGCATAGGTTTTCGCCAGGTACTCCGGTTTCCTCCCACAGATCAAAAACATGCATGTGTTTGTCTTTATGTGTCCCTGTGATGTACTTGCAACCTGTCCAGGGTGTATCCCGCCTCTCGCACAATGACTGCTGGAAATAGGCACCAGTGACCCGAAAAGGATAAAGTGGGTAAAAGATCATGGAAGGGTGGATGGATTCTCTCACACAACTTTACATTAATAAACTGATTTAAACTAAAGCTGTGAAGTGAGCTCTTAAGTTTGTTTATGATACTTTGTTATATTTTTGAAGGGTTGCATTTATAACCCCTTTTCTAGACTTTGCTGCCTTAAGAGATTTTTATTTCTCAGTTCTTCAACAGGCTGGTAGAAATCCCTCACAAGCATCGCTCAGTAAATACTGGACTAAGACAACATCTAAAATGAACTTTGATGACTTCTGTGAGATCCTCAAGCATGAGAAAAAAATGGAGGAGACGGAGCTGATGAAAACATTCAAAAAAATGGATGTGAAAGGTGATGGCTTCATCACTTACAGTGAACTGGAGAAGACTCTAACTACTGTGAGTAGCCTTAGACATTTTTTTTTATTTTTTGTCAGCTTTGCTCTTACACATTGATTTTGTTAGATTCAGGTTCTTACATGTGCTACTTTTAAGGAAGATTAAGATTTGTCTTAACCAACCACTTTCAAATTTGTGAGCTACTGACACTGATGTAGACTGCTTGTAGATTCATTTATAATTATCAGTAAATCACTGCAGCGTGGGCAAAACAAATGTTTGGTCATGGAATTTTCTTTAAATGAAAATAAAATGTTTTTTTGTTGTTTTTTTTTACAGAAAGGGGAGAAAATGACATCTGAGGAAGTGAACTCTATTTTTTCATTAGCAGACTTCTGCAAGGATGGCAAAATGGATTACACACAGGTAAGTTCAGACAAGTAGGAAGTTATTTGTACTCATCCAAAAGCCACTTTGTTGTATAGACTACCTTTGCAATATACCATGGTAATATTTAATCCCAAATTTAGTAAAAACTTTATTTTGAATGCTTTGTAAATCAGATATTTGACACAATTAGTAGACTTTCCTTCCAAGCACTATTATAATGATATGGGCAACAGAATAAATAAAAAGGCCACTCACTACAGTTAAGTTCATTTAAGCTTGTTGCTAAAGTTCAAACCGCATACCATTCAGAGTCCAGTATCTTGCATCTATCTGTATGCTCTCTTGGATTTGGTTGTTTATTTTAAACATTTCTCTCCATCCACAAAAATCTATATATTTGTTCTTTGGTTTGAAACATTGCTCCTGTGCCGCTCTTGTTCGATGTCTTTCAGTTCTGCAGGCTGTTTGTTTCTACAGTGGAGCAGTGTCAAATGGCTGCTTTGGAGAAGCTTGAAGCTGATGCCAAGCTGAAAAGGCAGAACTTTGGCAGCCAGTCTTACAGCCCTCCAAAGGCACCGCCATCATCTTTAGAAGCAGCTGCAGAATCTGGCTCCTCGCTTAAGAAAGGTACAATAGATTAATGTGAATAAAATGTATTTGTGCAGCTTTCCTTGAAACATATACTTCAAATGTCTACTCCCACAGCCCCAGTATACCTTGATGATTGGTTTTGATGAATAAGTAATAGCTCTGGTATTGATCAAATTTTCACCACCAGTGTGACAAATCACCCAGTTTGCCCGTTCATACATCATAACTGCCACACAATTAGGCCAGCTTGTTTAGAGGGAGGAGATGGCAAAGTGTTTTGATTTGGGTAATCATTTCCGCAATTAAGCGACTGACACAAGCTCTGACTACACTTTGCCTTTCCACCAACTGTTTAAGATCAGCTTGGAGCTTCAGTTTTTAATAAGACATGAGGAATCTATACATCCTAACTTAGTTATCACTTTAACCAGGATGTAAAAGTGTGTTTTTTTATGTAGAACCCAACTGTTGATGAAAGACTTAGATGAGCTGAGATCCAGGATGAGGAAGTGAGGGACAGGTCCACATTGGGAAGACAGATGGGGTTGATTTAGGTGGTCGGACCATGTTCTTGTTATTGATTCGGAAGATTTCACCACTTCTCACTGGGGAGGTGATGAGGGATTAGAGAGGAGGCACAGTCAGCCACCACTGCAAAAACAAATGATCTCCCAAGTAGTAGTGGGGGATTATCACATTATTGTGTCTCGCCCATGTATTGATTTATACCGGCTACGTTTTAACAAAGCTTTGACATGAGATGCTACGTTATCTCTTGTGTTAACAAGGTTCCTCCTGCAGCTTCAAAACGGACTTCAATTTGTCTGTTAAAACCAGAGTGTACATTTTACTGGTATTAAACAATGACCTGAATTGTCCAAAATATTTATGTGAACTAAATATACATTTAATTCTGTCATTGGATTTATTTTTTCCTAATAATTTCCAACAACAACAAAAAATTAAATCTCACTTTTTTTTTTCATTTGCACAAACGTTACAGTATGAATTATCTTGACTGGATTACTTACATCAGTATAATATATACAGTATCTGTGATAAATGATCGTGACAGAGAGTCTATTTGTTTCTGCACCTCAGTAATTTGTTTATCAGCCTGTCACATTACTTTGCAGCCTAATTTGCCAGTCTTAAAAAATAATCAGACCCCTCATTAGGGAATTGAGATATTCTGTCTTCAACTCAAGGTCAAGTCAAGGTCAAGGTTTCGTTATTGTCATTCTCATCATATGCGGTACATGTGGTGGAACAAAATTGTGTGCACAGGGTTCCAGTTACATCCAACAAAAGTATAAAGTGTAAAGAAAAATAGTAATAAGATCTAAGATATGAACTAAGACATACACTAAGCACTAGTAGTACAAAAACAATACGCCGAACAACAGCAGCACGAACATGAGTCTGTGTGAGCAGCTGAGTATGAATGAACACAGCAACATGAAATAAATCAGCAGCATAAGATCAGCAGCATGGATAGTCAGCAGCACATATCAACAATCAAGTGGCATTACAGTGATTTTTCACAGTGATAATCCTGGTTAGGGATTCATGAGTCTAACAGCCTCAGGGCAGAAGCTGTTCCTCAGTCCAGTGGTTCCACACCCAGTGCTCCTCAACCTCCTAATTAGTTTTCAATAAATAAAGTTGTGTGAGCTAATGGATTTGAAACGGTGCTGTTATGCAATTTGTGATTTAAAAGGCGACCGTAATTAATTAAAGGAGCGTGAACTTGAGGCCGCACTTTCTTAGAAAGCAAACGCAGACTAGGCGTTTTCACTGGAACTTAGCGAGAAAGGCTTCTGAGAAGACAGATTACAGGGAATGTTGTTGTATTCTCTTTTCTCCTTTTAAAAGTGTCTGTTCTGTTTGCAGGGAGTGATGGAGCGCCCCTAATCTGTCACTCATAAAAAAAGACTTTTTGAAAATGTTGTGGGGTCAATTTGAAATGTTTTCTGACTGGTGTGTGTGCGTGTGTGTGTGCGTGCGTGCGTGCGTGTGTGCGTGTGTGTGTATCAGACGGCCGTTCCTCCTCCCGTCCTCTTTCTGCTCGCAGCAGACGGTCCTCTCTGTCAAACTCAGTCACAATGACATCCAGCAGCACCAAGGCCAGCAAAATCACAGAACCTCCAAGTTTGCAGGTGATCTCCTAAAAATCATGAGAACTTTCTAGTTGCATGTGATCAATGTCATTAGTTTTATGTCTTGCTGTTTAAGTAATCTTGTTTTGGACCTTTCTAAAAGTGCATTTTGTGGCATAGGTCCAAATTTAAGAAAAAAACTGGCACAAGTATCATTTTAAAACAGAAATGCAGCCCAGTGATTCTCAAACTGGCAGGAAAGATTGGGTAGGGATGTTATGGATGATCATGCTTATATGGCAACTAAAACTAAAAATAAAACTTTATATTAATGCAAGGAAAAGAAACAAATGAGTTTACTCATGCTTTTGTGCTTTTGTTTTATGTACTATACAAATATTGTTTGCATGTCAAAGAGACCATACAATTTTTTTTATTTGCTTATGAGCATGTGTGAGTGAAATCCATCTCATAAACTCTAAACTCACACACACACACATCTGGCACCTTTTTGTGTTCTTGTGATTTAAGAATATCAAGTTCAGCGAGTGGTTCATTTTGGCATAGAGAAATTTAAAAGATATTCCTGCTTCATAGAAAGAGAAATTCAACCTCATGGAACAGAAAACTTCCAGCCTTCATATGAGTGGTGTTTAAACTGTTTTAATTGGCCAGTACGTTACTCAGCTTTGTGACATTTTCCCAAAATGCACAGCTTGTAAATGCAATTAAAGATGGCTTCCTGACGAGCAAATATTATTTTTAAAAAGTTGCTTTGTGTCTGTACGACAGCCTTAAAAGACTCAAAAGACTTAAGGAGACTCCTGCATGGGAGAGCGGGGTAGAGGTGCTAATAACCTGGCAGGAAAATCTCTTTACAAAATACGAAGGCTTTAATTTGTGCTTAGTTTGGCTCCTCTGGTCTAATGTTAGACGGAGATGTAGCATCGCTGCTAGCTGATGAGAGCCGTTCCAGATGTTTTTGATCAAATTGCTCGAGCTTGAAGAATGGAAATTTGATAATCATTAAACAGTAGTCCCTCTCTACTTCGCGTTTCGTTTGTCGCGGACTCACTCTATCGCGGATTTTCAAAATAAGAATGGACACGACACAATTGGCTGATCGATGGATGCGCCGCACAAATTTTTTATTTAAAATAAATTATTTTAAATTATTTAACACCTGCTGCACATTTGTGCAGCCCACACTGCAGGATAAACTTCCTGCTGCGGCTGATCAGCTGTTCACTGTGCTGCTGAGAAGTGGGCGTGGCTAAGAGCGCTTGCAGAGGAGGCAGGGAGCTGAAATCATGACATTCTGTGCTCTTTTAGAGAGTTTAGAAACATTGTTTAGAATACAGCAAGAGTGTGGGGAGGGTTTAAAATGCCTTTATATACATATATATATATATATATATATATATATATATATATATATATATATACTTGTACTACTATTCCTACTTCGTGGTTTTTCACTTATCGCGGGGCTTCAGGGTACAGATTCCCCACGATGAGCGAGGAGCTACTGTACTTTCTTACTTTAATGCGAAAATGAATAAAAACTATTAATAGTTGTGAATTTTAAATCATATTTATACAAATGGCTCAATGTAAGTGTTACAATATGCAACTTTTAAACCACCTCCAGTAGTTCATATTGACCTTAGTGCCTGTTCAGTCACAAAGTTCCTACAGGGGGCAATGCAGTTGACTGGAGGAGATTTATAAACACAAAATAAGTTAATTGATCAAAGGAAATTAACAGAACAAGTGTTCGATAATACCAATGCATGCACTTTTGTTTAAGATTTTTTTTTTGTCTTCTATTTTTGAAGGTTGTCAGTTTTAACAAATTGAATTGTATTAAAGTCCATGTACGAGTTACAGTGCACGCTTTCCCTCTGTCATCAGTATGCTTTGATTTAAAATTTTAAAATGTGCACTTTATTCCATTTGTTGAATAACTGGATATCTTTGTGTGCGAGCGACCCGGTTCAATGAGGAACCACACAGCCCCACTGCTCGCTCGGTGTCATTGTGTTGCAGTGGTTTAAATGGACAAATACAGCCTGGGGTGGATAGATATATGTGCTGTATCGATCCCATGCTCTTTGTTTTCACTCTTTTTGGCTTAACCTCAGCTGGTTTGCTTTACAGCAAGGTGTAAAAAAAAAAAAAAAAGCAGATAAATAAATAAACACAACCACCCCTTGCACCATCTCTCAGGTCCGAGCACCGTGTTGAGATTGGAAACAGCCAGGCGTCATAAAGGGTAAAAGAATGTGTGTCCAGAGATTACCTCAGAGGGAACTTCTGCTCGCTAAATTAGCTCCTATATTGCCACAGGCTAATAGCTGTGGTGCGAATGGTGAAGGATAGATGTGTGGTGGTATCAGTATGTCTATGCGAGAGTGTCACATTTATCTTCCTAAACACAAATCTACATAGGAAGGATTATTCTACTTAGCTTTTTTTTTTCCCAGTGTAGATTAGAACAGTAGGAAAATGAAGAGATTTAAGTGAGCGTGTGCTGGTTAGGTGTCCTGCTAGCTGCTGTGAAGCAGTAAATCAGACCTGTGGCCAGAGCAGGTGACAGAGCCTGTATTAGTCTGCAGGCTGACCCTCTCTCAATGGGGGCATTAATTCTGATGTCCTTAAGCAGTGGATGGGTGCCCGTGGCATTTTCCCTCATTTAATATTGTCTGGACAAACCACAGAAGTGTTATGGTTTGATCTTTTATGCCTCTCACAGCCCAAGATAAATACTTGGAGAAAATGGCTTTTCTCTAAAGGAGTGGCATGCTCCGTCTTTATGGTACTTTTCTTTGTTTAACTTGGTGATTTATTTGTCAACTAACAGGATATATGGCCTATTTCAGCCTCGCTCGGCCCTCAATGTCCTTTTACCGTGAGTCCACACCAACTGTGTTTTCATTTAATGTGTCTCCAATGAGAGGAATGAAAACTTCCTTGTGTTGATGTTCCTGTTCAATTTCAAATTATTACCTAATTTCAGTTGTGTAGCCAGACAAATCAACAACAGGATTGGGAGATGAGAGAAACATCAGGATTCATAAATATTGCCAAAGTAGCCCCTCGACAGTTTTGGACAAAGATTGAAAAGGCCGTATTTATCAAAGTTAAATGGACTCCAATTTAAGGAGAGATTTACTCCAGCCTGCAGCAGAAATACAGTGGGACACTTCTGCCCCCATCTGGAGCAGCATGAGTACAACACATGTTTATGTGCTGCTGATTTGTGATGAATATCCCCCTGAAGATCGGAGCGGTAATAATTACAGTGGCAGTTTCTGTTAATCAACCCGAGTTGCTTCACTGTTAATGAGCAGCAGCTTAACTCACTCTTTCATGCCAATATACACCGCCCTTGTCACGAGATTCATCCCACTTTAAATAAGAACTGCAAATTAGTTTTGGTTTCTGCTGAATGAAAGAATGCATCTTGTTGCCAGAGATAAAACAGTGTCATAATTGTGTCAGGATCTAAACTAACACCACACAGAAAAAATATGGAGCACAAATAAAAAGGCAGAATGCTTTACTAATAGTGTAAAGGTGTCAACATAAAGAATAGATGAACGATATTGGATTTTTGGCCGATAACCGATACCATTATTGATATGGTTTTCCCCCTAGACCTACTTACAGACTACATAGCTTTATCTGCTGTGGAATTAAAATACTAATTATTCTTCATGGTCTTTGTCAGTTTAGTCTGCTACAAAATGCAGATGCCAAAAAAAGGGGTCTGAAAATGATGCAACACTTCAACCTGGATTATGTTTAATGTCAAATTTATTCATGACATTTACTCTCTCTAACAATGACAACACTCGAACAGTGCAAATTTGTAAATTTTCTCAAATCTAAACTTAATGGTGCATATGACATTAACATTAACATAACATTGTGCCGGCGCTGCAGGCATTCTTGTCACTGGGTTGTCATACAAAAACAGCATCTTTT